CTCTCTCTCTCTCTTTTTGACAAAATTGGGCCCGTTTTTGCGAAAAATGGGCTGTTTTTTGGAGGTCTACAGAGTGCAAAACCTTTTTTTTTTTAATTTGCCTCTTCAAAATCTTGGTACGCTTTATACTCTGGTGCGTCTTATAGTCTGAAAAATACGGTAGTCCTTGATTTACAACAGTTTATTTAGTGTCTCTTCATAGTTACCATGGCACTGAAAAAAGTGACTTATGACCATTTTTCACACTTATGACTGTTGCAGCATCCCTACGGTCACGTCATTTACATTCGGGTGCTTGACAGCTGACTCAGATTTATGATGGTTGCAGGATTCCAGGGTCCTCCTGTCAAGCAAAGTCAAGGAGGAAACCAGATTCACTCAACAACTGTGTTACTAATTTGAGAACTGCAGTGATTCACTTAAAAAATGTGGCAAGAAAAGTGTAGCGAACTCACTTAACAAATTTCTCACTTAACAACATAAATTTTGGGCTCAGTTGTGGTCATAATTGAGGGCTAACTATGATGTAGGAACCCTGTCGGTTATCCAACAGATCTTTGTATTTATATTGTGTGTGTGTGTGTGTGTAGTTGTTGACTTAGAAAATTTTAGGATGATAGTCGTTTTCTCATTTCATATTTCTGAACCACCCATAGATCAAGCCAATATATTCTCTCCTAAGCTTTATATTGTAGAGCAGAAATTTAGCCAGGTTATTTTAAGAAAAAAGTGGCTAACTTTTTTTTTTTTTTTGGTTTGTTTTTAATGATTCTTTTAAACCAAGGCTTTGCAGAAACTGCCTCCCGGCTTTTAAGAGTGCCTGTGGAACAGTTGTTGGACACACTCAGGATCCGGACGATAACCGCTGGGAAACAACGGCAGGTGTTCAAGAAGCCTTGCCTCAAGGCAGACTGTGAAACAAGGAGGGACTGTCTGGCCAAGGTGATTTATGCCAGGTAAGTCCTTACACCAGCATGGCTGCCTGCCTGGGGAATTCTGGGAACTGAAGTCCATTCCTTTTCAAGTTGCCAAGGTTGAAAAACACTGCCTTAGGTACTTCACCAAAGCATCAAACGTTCATCAAATGCCCTGAAAAATCTGAGTTTCCATTCACATTTTAAGATGGCTGTGTATCTTTGCTATTTTAGCCGATAGATCTCTGTTTGTGCATCTCTTGCTATTCCATTCCTTAAAATCTCATTGCCTCCTTGAGGCCTACCTGGAGCGTAAGCTTACCCGGAAGGAAAAGCATAACCTTCATGATTGATTAGCTTCAGTCCTGTTTATGACACTCGCCTACAATTCCGTATTTGCGTTTCCGGCTTCTTTGTTGCTATGCAAAAGCATATCTGCCTCTGGCACAGTTTTTCATCTTTCTTGCAGGATCTTTGACTGGCTGGTGTCTGTGATCAACGAAAGCATCTGTGCCTCAAATTCCGTGTGGAACAACTTCATAGGTATTCTTTGGAGCCATCTTGGGTGCATAACTGCTGACAGAAATAGTTAGAATCCAAACTAAATAATGTCCTGCACATTGAACCTTCTGCAACCTGGGAATCATCCAGTTTCTTTCAGGGTGCTGATTAATTACCTTTACAGCCTTAAATGGCTTGGGATGAGGCTGCAGATAATCCTCGACTTAACGACCGCCATTGAGCCCAAAATTTCTGTGGCTAAGCAAGACAGTTGTTAAGTGAGTTTCCCCCATTTCACAACCCTTTTTGCCACAGTTGTTAAGGGAACCACTGCAGTTGTTAAGTGAAACATGTGGTCTTTAAGAGAAACTGGCTTCCCCATTGACTTTGCTTCACCTCCAGGTTTACTAGATGTTTACGGTTTCGAATCTTTTGCGGTAAACCACTTGGAACAGCTCTGCATCAACTACGCCAACGAGAAACTGCAGCAGCATTTTGTCGGCCATTTTCTAAAGGCTCAACAGGTAATACTTTGCCAGTGAATTTTCTTTTGCAAATATCAGTCGTTGTGTCCCGGGGGTCTTTGGGCAAATTGAAATCACCTTCTCCCTTCTCTGCTATTTTCCTATGATTTTGATTCCTCCAGGAAGAATACGCTGAGGAAGGTCTGGAATGGTCCTTTGTAAACTACCAAGATAATCAAACCTGCCTGGACGCCATTGAAGGGAATCCTGTGAGCATCTTCTCTTTGCTCAATGAGGTGGGTCCAAAGCTTCCCTTTCTTCCCTTTCAAATAAAGTCTGTTCCATCATCACCAGAGCTATCCAAGGCAGAAGAGGCTAAACTTGCACTGTATGACAATACCAATGCTTGAAGCAAGGCATAAGGAAAAAAAAGGGAGGCAGTAGCTCAAAAAGGGTGGCTCGGTGGCTAAGACGCTGAGCTTGTCAATCAGAGAGGTCAGCAGTTTGGCGGTTCGAATCCTAGCACTGTGTAACAGAGTGAGCTCCTGTTACTTGTCCCAGCTTCTGCCAACGTGAAAGCACGTGAAAAATAAAAGTAGAAAAACAGGGAGCACCTTTGGTGGGAAGGTAACAGCGTTCCATGTGCCTTTGGTGTTGAGTCACGCCACGTCACAGCCACATGACCACGGAGACCTCTTCGGACAGTGCTGGCTCTTTGGCTTTGAAATGGAGTTGAGTACCGCCCCCTAGAGTCAGGAAAGTCTAGCACATACGTGTGAAGGGAACCTTTTATCTTTTCCTAAAAGGCACAAATGAGTGCATGATTTAAAGGCCACAGAATTTGTCCCAAAGGTGCTTTTTCAAGGGGCAACTGGCCTTCCTTTGTTTTTCCTTCAAGATGTTTTGCTTCTCATCCAAGAAGCTTCTTCAGCTCTGACTGGACCAGGGGTGGGTTGCTGCCGGTGTTACTTTGCGGGTGCGCGCATGCACACAGTTCCCTGTAAATAGGCCTGCGCGTGCACAGAACATTAAAAAACGCTCAAAAAACATGCTGCAGCGAGCAGGGAACCGGTTCGGAGGCATAACCAGCCTGGGTTGCTACCGTTTCCGTGACCCAGGCCTGGTTTGGCCGAACCGGTAGCAACCCACCTCTGGACTGGATGGTGGGGAATGGAAGGATTTATACTCCTTGCAGACAGCTGGTCATTTGCATCCTTTTAGAGGGTCCTTGAGGCCACTTGGAGATTTACCTGTGTCCTCAAGGTCACCTGAGTGATGCGAATGGGTGCAAAGCCTTCTTGGAACTGCCAAAAGTGTGTTGTAAAGGATGGGTGGTGTTGTATCCCCCTCACCCCCCCCCTTCTGTTGAGAGAGGGCTGTTCAGTTCTGACATAGATGGCCTCTTTGACCCCTCTTTTAAAACAGTGGTCCTCTCTGTCCAGAACGTGGACTTTGCTATCTTCAAAGATTGAGAACCTCCACAGACATTGACCATGGCATTGGATTTCCCCCCCTTTTTGGACTGCTCCAAAATACTCGTCTATGCCTAAATTTGGTTGGCGCTGCTGCTGCTCCTTTTCCTCCTCCCAGCCAACTTTTCCCCACTGTGCCCCTCTTTCCTTTGGCAGGCCTGTCGCCTTAACTGGACCTCCAATGCCGCGCAGTTTCAAAGTCGGATTGAGATGGCTCTGTCCAAGAACGCCTGTGTAAGCCGAGAGAAATTTAGGAAGGAGCCAAACTTCATTGTATCCCATTACGCTGGTAGCGTCTGCTATCGAATTGAGAGTATGGTGGAAAAAAATAAGGTATGTTTGGTTAGCACTTACGTTTCTTAATTTAAATGGGAGATAGGGAAACCAGAGAGCTCTCAGTTGTTTTTTGGTAAGTGCCCATTTGAAAATGAGGCCAAAATCAAATTTCATTGGTGCAATTTTTCACGGATATTTAATTCTTCGGTAAAATAAAGCTTTTGATAGGTTTAATGCGTGGGCAATTAAAGAAAATGATCCAGTTGTTTAAAAAAGCAAAGCGTAGTTCAAGTCTCAGTACCCCACTCTCTCTCTCCCCTCTCTCTCTCATCCCTCTTCCTTCTTCCCTCCCTCCATCTCTCCCTCTCTCTCTCCCCTCTCTCTCTCATCCCTCTTCCTTCTTCCCTCCCTCCATCTCTCCCTCTCTCTCTCCCTCCCTCTCTCATCCCTCTTCCTTCTTCCCTC